GAGTCATTTCTGTTACAGTTGCCAATACTGAGATGGTGTCCATGTGGGGGAAGTCTATCGAGTCATGGATGCAGGGAATGTACTTCATGTTTGCTGTCGGCGCCGTCATATCTCCACTAGTTACCGCCCCTTTCCTTGCACCGGAAATTACTATCAGTGTTCCGGACACTTCCGGCAACTCTCCGACTGGGGTAATATATACTCTCTATGACGGTAGACAATCTAAAATATACCTGGTATATGTAATCAACGCCTGCTTGGTTTTGGTCGCTGCTGCTCTGTTTTTTTACCAATGTATTAAAAACTCCATTTTCCTACATGGTTTGAGCTTACCGATAAACGATGCGGGGCATACACGTCCTTTGTCAAAGAGGGAAAAGGCGCTAATTTTAGGCAACATGGGGCTCCTTTGTTTTGTCTACACCGCCATTGAGGAAACGTTCTCTGAATACCTTACCATATTTTGTGTCGCACAGATGGGCATGACAAAGGTGCAAGGTTCCGAAGCGACGTCTCTATTCTTCGCTTCGTTTGGGATATCTCGGTTTATAGGGATCTTTCTTGTTACGCAACTCAACCCTGTGCGACTAGTGTGCGGGTATTGCGTCATACTAATTATGTCGTTCGTCGGACTGACATTAGGTGCATTTTACTCTCATGTCATTGGTATCTGGCTTTTCACCCCACTTATTGGGATAGGTCTATCGATCATTTACCCTATATTGTACACGTGGACAGATGAACAGTTTATACACATTACAGGCAAAATTACCGCATACCTGATCATCATGGCGTCAATAGGAGGGATGATCAATCCGGCGTTGCTTGGATACCTGATCGAGGAAAAGACTCCCATGTGGTTCTGCTACCTACTGCTGATAGAGTGTCTTCTGTTCCTGTTTTTCTATGATATTGGATTATTTTTGTCGCGATGGATTTCGTCAAAACCCAATGTCCGGCGCCTGTATAACTCTGAGGTGGAGCTTGACACAATTAATCATAACTTTGGACTAGACCAACGTTGTGAACCATCCATAGGAAGTTTCGATCGCATGTCCCCTCCGCCGATAGGCGACAATACAGGATTGGATGCAAATGTGAGGCTATCTTCGGTAAAATCGTCTCGTCAGTCTTCCGAGAAACACAAAATGGACACTATCACAGAGGGGAAAGGTGGATCTTCAGATGAAGTCGTCACGTCAGAAGAAATGCAGTCGACATCAATGCAAGCGCGTGCTTCAGAAACAATAAAAGAAGAAACCGCTGATAGTGGAAACGAGTTGAACCGTGACGATATGCTTTCAAACAACAGCAAGACACGGGACAGTCAAGCTACGATGGAACCAGACAACAATGGAAAAGATGTAACAGCAAAACTAGCACAAACGTCTGCAATTGATTTGGATACAAATTCTACGACATTTTCAGACACAGCGGAGCATCAGCCGACAGCAACGTCAGAAGCGGACGTTTCTGCACAGAATCAAAGCACAGGTGCGGAAGTAGGTGGCGCAGTGATTACAGACATCTCTCAACCGACAAACGCCGAGAATGCATCATCAAGCAACATAGAAACCATTGTCTGACAGTATCGTGTCATAATGAGTTATTCAACAATACAACAATTGAAGCCTTCAAACAATTAGATTTATTTTTGGGAGCCATGCAATTGTCTGAATTTTGGGCGTTTAATTGTTTTCTAACACCATCGATCAGAAAAAAATGTGTGTGTGTAGATATTCATCTAATATGTATGGAAAGTGTAACGCTGTCATTAATATAACATTATTGAATCCTTTTATAGGATTATTTACGATTTTTTCTGATAAAGCGTGTTTTCTATCGATACGTCACAAGTTAAAACTAAGAAAAGTCATAAAATATTGTAGACAAAAAGGGGCATTTCGTGTTGCTTTGTTCAACTTAAATCTTTTATAGCATGTTGTATTAAATACCATGATAAAATGGGATCCTAACCCGTCAGCATTCGGTCAGGCTTTAGAAAATTCACTGCAACTCGTTCTGTATAATTCTTTGTAATCGGAATTTTAGGAATTGTGCTTTGTCGGTAGGTTTTTAAAAATCTGTGAATGTATTTTGTTTACCTCGTGGCTAGGAGGTTTGGCGATAACATTAGTGTTTACTTCAACTATTTTTTCTTTTTTCTTTTTTGAAGAACAACCGACAGTCATTAATATCAACAGTATCAATATCCTACCAATATATCAGTATTACAGTCAGCTTTGATCCCCTCCATATTCCCCCGACGAGTTTTTAAGCTAATCAGCTGCACATTGAATGTTCAAAATATACTTTTCAAATTCAAGGATTTTCAGGATTTTACCTGGCTGCGAAGTTGACAAACAAACAATATATTCATTCACAACCACACCTATTATCTAATTTCAAAGTTTTACTTTGTACACAAACGTATTACGTATGTAGGTATGTACGTATGTATTAAACGTGTTGCAAAGTTTCAAGACTGACTGAATCATCTGTAAAACCAACTACTCGACTTAAACGGGAGAGGTGTTTGATAAACTCCTTATCAGTAACCTATTCGATAAAGTGTGTAAACGCTCGCTATCGATACGTGAAACGTCCCGGGTCGAGTGACATATGACATTTACAACTTCATCACATCGTGTACATAAAAACAATTCAAAAATCGCTAACTCGTAACTTGACGAAGGTCTTGAAACGTTACGACACGACACACGCGCAATACGTAAATTGTTTGTTTATAAAGTAAAATTTTGAAATAACATATTTCAAAAATGATGCATCCTACAGACATACCTATTTTTTGTTAAATATTTTTATTTTATTCAGCTTTTCGTTACTTGGTGAAATGTAAGCATATTCCCATATATTTTTTTTTTATCCCAACACCTGTTGTTAGAATTACTTAGCACTTGGTATTAGTTGAATGTCCTACACTTCTTTGAAAGAAGACTATTTACCATAGCGCTTTAATCTTTTCAATATCAAACTGACGGAACCCGTGTAATGCATTAAAGTTATATTTTGTTCTTTCATTTTAATACTCACAACTATAACCAATTTTATTAATTATTTCCGTTCAACTAATATATGAATTATTTTTTAACCACAAATAAAAAAAAAATCAACATAACTTTCCAATCTTCTTAATTATTCATATAATATACATGATCTTGTATAATGATTAATTAAAGTGTTTCATCTTTGGATCGTTTCTGAACCTTTTAACCAAGATACCTCATACTTGATATGTAGCTGAAATCGAAAAGTTCTAAATCAAATGATTTTGTAATACTTGTGATTTTCTATTTATTTATATATGTTAATACTCATCCAGACAAGGTAAAATATACGCGAATGTGTACGCTCATATCAGAGTTATTTATAAATGTTATAAAAAACTATTACAATGTCGAACTATTTTCTATTTTCGTTAACCAGCAAGCTACGTTCAGAGTTAATGTAGAAGCTTAATTACTCATTTTGTTATTTGTATTTATACTTAAGATATCTTTCATCATAATCAATATTTTGCTTGATAGTTATAATGTTTCTAGAACGTTGTTTATGAATCATTTTATAAAAAAATAAAGAATTAAACAGTAGAGCATTCGATATATTCAAAAGAATATCCTGAAATTATTATTATAAATTATACAGAATTGATCAAATCGATGAAATTTTGTGGACATCACAGGATCTGTCTTACCAGGTGCTGACTACTACCTTGTTGCCACCTGACAAATACCTTCATGTATAGGTAGACATCTGTGTGTGCTAGGGATGGCTTCTTCCTATTTTTGTATTTTTTCTAAAGGCATCTTTATTTTCATATTGCTACCTCACCTAAATTTGTGAAATAAAGTTGTGAACAGCGAATTGAATATCACGAGTTCCGTTTGCATGGAGAAAGAACAACCACATGGTCCGATATGCATTTTTACACTATCTGTTGTTTTGGAGGCAGATATCATCTGTCATACATTAATAATGTTGAAGATGTTTGTATTATAGTTGCGGACTATAAGCCCAATCCCCCCTCTCTCTCCCTCTTATACTTCCAATATATAAATTAAATCATTTAAAAATAAAATAGTGTATATATGTTTATAAATTAAGTTTGTCATCTTGTCATATTGTAAATATATAAATATATGCTTGTAATTTGCTGGGAAAGGGCTTAATATAAGTTTAATAACTTGTGCCCAATCCATTTGCTTAGCAATAATATGTTTTAATATACTAAACTCACTAATATACTAACGCAATGTCACTGTAGTCCTCACTCAAAACCACTTTGTATTCCACCTGATATTTTGTTGTTCTGGCAAGGTAAAAATATAATTTCCCTGAATATTCCATGATATGGCAATCAATTCATAAGTGAAAGAAGGCAAAACTTTTTTAGACTTGTGTCATTATCTCATAATTTATATTTATCAATATTTATTAAGGTGTGATTTACATTGTTTTCTTTTCTCTTTTTATCTTTAAACACTGTCAGTCATTGCTCTGTATCTCAATATCTTGTTTGTATTTATCATGAGGTAAACAAATGGAATTGCATGCACATACAAACTTTTTTTTTGGTAAAAAGTTAAAAGTCTTTTTCTAAAAGAAATGTATGATTTATCTCCCCTGCATTAGCTTAATTGTGATAAATTGCCATTTGTCATGCAAGCAAAATTAAATCATCTTACAATTAGCATGATTGAAACATTTTTTATCAGGCTTACTTATCAAGCTATGGAAGTGTACATTGGTAACTAGATTCGAAGTGGTTTGATTACATAATAGAGGACGCTATAGAACGATACAGGACAAACATATCTCAAAAATATCTGGAAAGAAAAATCGGGTTAAAATGACTAGACCAACGCGCAAAGACAGTAAATGTCGAAAACTAACAAAATAATCAACATTCTTGCGTATATATAAGACTAACGTACTAAAACTGAACATTTTGAAATATAATAAAATAATAAACAAACATGTGTGTTTTATTCATTTATTTTTTGTGTTCAACGTAAACCGTAGCAATGCCTCTTTGCTATGTTTGTTTTGTTGTTATGGTGATCAGGTGATTAGGCTATGTGTTTTATTAAAACATGCTACCCTCATTTTAAGTCGCCGCTATCTTTGTTGGCATTGTATCTGAAAAAAATAAAGAGAACAAATAAGAATTGGTTACTGAAATAGATCTAATGTCACACTTTTTTAACAAAATATATCATTGACGTAGTTTTCTGTTCATATGAAAAGCAGCAAGACAATGCAACACGTAGCAACTACTGTCACTGTGACGTCATATAGTATTACCTAGCAACGGACCAATACATTGCTTTACTTTAAACTGTATACGACGCAAGCAAACAAAACTACATACGTCTGTATCCCAAGGACATTATCAACATGGATCCTCCCCCAAATAGACGTTTTCAACTATTTCATAAAACTGTTTGTTAAAATGTGCCATGATCGTCAAGAAACAACATTGGAACATCAAATTATTATTTTCTAGTTTGAAAGGAAAATAAAAGCAAAACGACTGTTTATCCTTTTTCCTTAGCAGAGCATCACGCTTAATAAAAAACATATTGCACGCTACACACACTGTACATGCTTAAGTATACATTGCCTTTATTTAGTAGCTACATGTTTTAATTTGTTTTGAATTGTCCTTATTTCATCAGTCATTTTAAAGCTGCATTTAATTTCAATAGATTGTCTTAGTGTGTTGATACTATAATTGCTGATTTTTTATTTTGTCTTAAAAATGTTATTGTGGTCCGTAAAGACATTATAATAGGCATGGATTGTTAGACTGATATATCACAATTTCGCAAATAGGAAAAACATCTAGTACTAGTAAATACCCTCACTCACAAAGGCCACGATTAATCCCACATGTCGAAATCTGGTCCATCCGAATCCCATTCCGGGTATCCCCAGGGCCGGCGGGGATACCCACGGAAATACGGATTGCGTCCGTAGTACATTGAATGGACCTCTGAAACAGGAGATAGTTCGCCTTGTTCATGTTTATACATGTACAAATAATATAGAGTCAGAGCAGATTTAATCATACGGTACTTGACATCAATTCTAGTAGAAAATAAATTGCATTTTTTAAACTTTAAATTTCTTACTTTTTTTTACCAAAATCCTTAAAAACCCTGATTAAGCTTAATTTGTGACAAACCATATACATTGGTTGAATATTGGCTTACTTAGTATGGCATTACACGGTGTAACAAATCAGTTATATAATATTCTGCAAAACAAGGGGAGATAGGGTCTCTTAAACTTGTCTGATATTACAATCTACAAGGTAAATGAAAGACTCAAAATTTTGTCTGCTATTGATAGTATTGGGTAAGAAATCTGCCACTCATAGGTGACAGTTCTGATAACCGTGACTGGATGAACAAACCTTAATATTGACCAATAATTCAGACATCATGGTAGGAAGCCACTGAAACTTACTGACAATTGCTGACGTTATCTTTCTTAGTTTCCTTATATTAGACCTCACACAAAGACATATTTATAATCTTGAGAAATACTGTTTAGTTGTTTAATTTCGCGTGGCTAATATTTCGCGTTGTCCCGATCACAACTAGTTCAAGTGGACTAAATATCGTGCAACGTTTCGAAATTGTATTTACATGTCTTTTATCATAATAGCATAAAATACGATATTAAATTGTTATTTTATCATCAATGTTCGTTTTTTTAAAAGGTGACGCGAGTGCTTTCTGTTATCTCTGTAACGTCTAGTTATTAATACTCGATTAGTATCTATTTTCGCACTATCTTTGGTTGCCGGAGATTTAGCGAAATTAAACTCCACATAAATATTACCGCCTATACAGTACACAAGATATGGCAGAATGAAATATATATAAGTATTATTATGATTATACTAGTTACCTTATACTAGTCTTCGTGTTTTGGTTTATTTATAAGTATTATTATGATTATACTAGTTACCTTATACTAGTCTTCGTGTTTTGTATTATTTAGAAGTATTATTATGATTATACTAGTTACCTTATACTATTCTTCGTGTTTTGTTTTATTTAGAAGTATTATTATGATTATACTAGTCACCTTATACTATTCTTCGTGTTTTGTTTTATTTAGAAGTATTATTATGATTATACTAGTCACCTTATACTATTCTTCGTGTTTTGTTTTATTTAGAAGTATTATTATGATTATACTAGTCACCTTATACTATTCTTCGTGTTTTGTTTTATATATAAGTATTATTATGATTATACTAGTTACCTTATACTAGTCTTGGTGTTTTGTTTTATTTATAAGTATTATTATGATTAAACTAGGTACCTTATACTAGTATTCGTGTCTTGTTTTATTTATAAGTATTATTATGATTATACTTGTTACCTTATACTAGTCTTCGTGTTTTGTTTTATTTATAAGTATTATTATGATTATGCTAGTTACCTTATACTAGTCTTCGTGTTTTGTTTTATTTAGAAGTATTATTATGATTATACTAGTTACCTTATACTATTCTTCGTGTTTTGTTTTATATATAAGTATTATTATGATTATACTAGTTACCTTATACTAGTCTTGGTGTTTTGTTTTATTTATAAGTATTATTATGATTAAACTAGGTACCTTATACTAGTATTCGTGTTTTGTTTTATTTATAAGTATTATTATGATTATACTTGTTACCTTATACTAGTCTTCGTGTTTTGTTTTATTTATAAGTATTATGATATATGTCAGACATCAAGGAATGGAGTTACATGTAGGATATACTGTCTGGTATGTATGGGAAAGGGATCTTCACAAATTTGTAAACGACGATGAAGTAAGAAATATGTACGGGACTATTTTTGTATCAGGCTTACTAATTAAGCTATGAAAGTGTACATTGGTAAGTAACTAGATTCTAAGTAGTTTGATTACACAAAATAGGACGCTATAGAACGACAAAAGACCAACATATCTCAAAAATATGAGGAAAGAAAAAACGAGTTGAAATGACTAGACCAACGCGCCTAGACTGTAAATGTCGAAAAATAACAAAATAATCAACATTCTTGCGTATATCTAAGACTAACTGATACATTTACTACGGGGAAGACATATCTAAATTAAAACAAATAAATCGGCTAACGGGTATATAGGCTATTGATCTTGTTCTGTATATGAGAAGTTTAGGAATGAAAATTCTATCTCAAATCACAAGTACAGTTTTAAAATGTATAAGATAGCATACAACCTCTACGATTGGCAATTCTATCCCTAAACACAAGCAAAACACGTAAGGTTGCATATCAGCTTAAGGGTTTTTATTTTATTTTATTTTTTCTTCTATGTTCCTTGTTTTCATACAATTATTTTGATTGGCATATGTCGCTATCACTATCAATGTAATATTATAGTTGAGGAGAGGGCTTCTATAACTTGTGCCCAATCCATTTGATTATATCAATAAGATATGTTTAAAAAAACAAAACAAAAAATGAAGGGTGATAATGCTAACACAATTCACTGATGTAATGTAAAAGGTAGCATATACCCTTCAGGTTGAAAACTGTAACATGAGATTCAATTAAAGTAACTTTTTCCTTATATGGTCTTGCAGTAACATAAATCACAGAAACTGTTTTAAACTGTATAGTGTTGCAGAATTCCTTGATACAAATAATTATAACACATTCACACGTGTAACTATTAGATAACAAATAGTTTGAAACAATATAAGTATTATATGAAATTGTTATGAATATATAAACAAACTTACCAGATAGGCAGATGATCACTGAAACAAATAAAATACAAGACATGTACAAATCTTATCCATCAATCAATGTCACAAGGGCTGTCAAGCGATGACATACTAAATACACGGAAGTATTCAAGAGCAATAATGATAATGACGTGATCATGTCACGTGCGGAAAACATATAAATCACATTTTTCCTTGAAACTTGTTATACAAAGCCCACAAAAGGTTTTAATGATACAATAAATTGTTTTGTAAGTATAGGTCAAATAACCTTTCAATAGACATAGGAACATTTCCAACGGAGGAGAACTAATAGGTAACACTAAACTTAATTGAAAATATTAATTAATTTAAAAATTGCCATCTTGTATATATATATTTCATTATGTTATTGGGAAAGGGCTTTACATAAGTTGGACAACTTGTGCCCAATCCCTTTTGTATATTAGATGCAAATGAAAATATGTTTGAATAATTAAAAGGTAAATTGTTCACTTGACCCTCTTATAAATAATTATGATCACTACTTCAAACGAAGCAAATTCAAAATAAAACAAATGAAAAAAACAACAATTCAAATACGAAATATAGAAAACTGCTTTTTACAATATATCACATAAGATAAGTAAAACATGATAATTTGTATATACATTTCGATTCTCTACGAATGCATGCTAACAAAACATACATGTAGCTACGTCCTTAAGTGACCTGAGCTGATAATAGGACATTAAACAATATAAAACAAATCACACCAAACTCTACGAATGAGTGGCATCCATATCAAAAGAGAAACGTAAACAAAATGAAAATAGATATCATCATATGCACTATCTAGAAAATACAGATAAGCCTTAGACAGAACAGACTTAATTTAATCACGTAAATATATGCAGATGAAACGATTATAGTGTCTGTGTTAAAAGGGTGACATGTTTTCCATGCTCCGTTGTTAAACCTAGCGCGTGTTGTATCGCCCATACATTATTATAACCGTTTGATCCACAGCCTGCTATACCATTATGGCATGCTACAACAATGTAGCTAGACGCATTACATTGGTCATTTGTCTGGGCTTTGTTTTAGTAGGTCAGCCTAAATCCATGTCAAATTTCGTGACATCCGCTTTTGTTCAAATCGAAAGCACTTTTATTGTTAGGCTTTTGTATGTAGATTCAATTTTCACATAAAGAGTTCTGAGTATATTATAAGCTCCAGATTAGACGCAAACTAATTCCGGACTAATTATAATTTTAATAAAAAAAATATACAAAAAGAGATGCCATAAATTACTTTATGCTGTCCTTAAATACAAATTTTTCAACTGAAAGGACCGCTTTTCAAATTGTCAGTCTTAAATAGCAACTACTTGTGTATATCTAATGTTATTGATTTATTATCAAATTTTCAAATAAGGAAGTTGACGTCTTGATATCAATTTATTTACGTTAATAAAAGATGACTATCGCACGGCCGAGCAGAATACTTGAATATATATTTCAACTTCTATTCTGATTTACCATAACATGCGAGACTATTGTTAATATTGGCAGTGTTGGACTCATACTTAAAGCAAATAAAGTGAATACAGTAGAAACAAAATCAAAAAAATTCATATCGTCCTTTGCTGAAATTAAGAAAAACTGAATACTGGGAAACTTTCGCCCAGTCAAATTATCACTCTTCTTCGTAGGAATCATAATTTGCCTTATGCTATTTTCGTTCTACATTTTTAATTCCTATTATACATGATATTGTTTACTAATACTGAAATCGCTCTCAATACCGGGGTTGCAGAAGAGGAAAGTTAGTCTAAAGTGAATATTTTCCGGTTATTATTAGATACAACTAAGGGGTAGTAACGAATTCATAATGTAAGCTATAACGAACATTCATTATGATTTCTCACGAACTCAACGGCACGAATAGTTATCATTTCTGTTTTTCGTTCTAATAGGAAATGAAGCAAAATGAGAATAACCAGTTAAAAGGACGCAATGGTATTGACATGAATTCATCCAATCAATAAACTATCAGGTACTACATGTATGAATGCTATAGTTAAGTGCGTAATAGTTTGTGACTTCTGTAGAAGTATACATCAGCGTAAAGAAAATGTTATTTTTTGGTAGAATATGTTCCATGGAAGTTGGCTGTTTAACACGCGAAATTCTTATCAAGCGTCTATTCGAATTCAACCTGTCTCAATTTAGTAGAGGTTTTGTTCCCGACATTGTTAATGTTTTACAAAAATACAATTTGTATCATTTTATTGATGAATTTTTGAAGAGTGGTGTATTTCCAAACAAATGTCAATGGAAGCGTTTAGTCAATGACCATGTAAAAAACTATGAACAGTTTAACTTATGTGAAAGAATGAACGCTGATAGGGATTTCTCTCGCTTCACTCTTTTACATAATAAGATACAACCGTATGCTATATGGAAACTTGCTTTACGCTTTCCACAATACAGTCCATGTTTTAAGAAAA